GTTTGAAGGACAACGTTTAGCAAAGTAACAGGGATCGGTAATTGTTTGTGACACTGTAACTACAAAATTCATACTATGTAGTATCAGGGGCTTATACTGCTATGTGTGTGTGTGTTTCTTAGTTAAGATTGCGAAATTGCTCCAGCGATAGCACTAGCTGGCTCATGACAGCGTGTACTATTCAGTGATCAAACAGCCCTGGACATGTACACATGTTCGTTGTTTCGCAGGTGGTAAACAGCTAAATGCCATCCATATACTTGTTCACATTTCTCCGTCACATCTTTCTCCAAATACGAGCCCGCAACTTACAAATATCAGCAAAACAGCCGTTGTGCGATTTCTCAATAGGTGGCGCTCATGTACTACTCAATTTTAGAGCAAGATAGATGCAACTATGTGATTTTCATACAGTCTTTGCTTATCCATGGTATGTCTATGGCGTTTACATTAATGAAGAAAAATAACAGGTGCTACTCACTATGATGGAATGACTAAAATAAAATGGCTACTGGCTGCTGGATACAGCCTATGTTCATCTAGATTTTTGCACATGAGAAATGCTATAAAAGGCTTCCCTAACCAAAAAGGGTCAAGTATAAATAAGGGATCTGTAACGTCCAACTCTAGACCAAAAGAAAGCGGAGATACCATTAAGTGGAGTGTTAACTCGAGCAGAGGCTTTTTTAACGTGAAAAATTGCCCGAGCTTTTAAAGCTAAGTGAATTTTAAGTGGAGTAGATTACGTTACATTATTTAGACGTCTGCCGGGCATTGTCGAGCCATAGGAAAATGAAAGGTGGAAGAGGGTTCAAAAACTGCTTCCTGTTATGCGAGGAACTTGTATTATATTGTATTTTTGTGATATTGACGATGTGGGATGAGAGATGGAATGTCAAAAGTGTAACTAGAATGAAATACTCGTAATCAACTATAGATTGAAAAACTGTTCAAAGCGCATGATCTGTCGACAAACCCCTAAGTCGTACTAAGGAATTGAAGGTGATGTAATAATTATAAATACGACAAAAAACATGATACCGTTCAATTATAGAAATATTCTCAGCCTAAAATAAAGTAGCTTTTACTAGATATTTGCGCAGATCGTTGATGGCGCGATATCCTTCTTAGGGTCTGCTTAATCCTTGGCTTTAAACTTAATTACAGGTTGTCTGTAGAGAACATGGACGACGTTAAAAATAGAATATTCGGTAAGAAATGGATTTGATGTATTTGACGGTCTATAAAAGGGACTTATCTACGATAATTTTTTTCGTCGCAAAAAATAGTCACAAGCTAATGTCTTCGTTACAGCTTCTGACTGATTTCCCGCATTTCAAAATCAAATTGGTTGAAATCTATTCAAATGACTCAAATGGAATCGAAAAGCTGTACATATCAAACTATAGAATATAAATATCTCCCATATTTCTATGTTAATTACAAGGGCGGTTCAATAAGTACCCGTGTTAGAAATGAAGACACCATTTTTCCAAAAAAAATCTTTTTATTTTTTAACATAACCCCCCAAAAATTCGAACTCTCCAAAATACGTCTGTCTCGGCGATGACATCCTCGTTTGAGCTAACTGTTTTCCTCGCGAGCCGATTCTTCATGTCAGGGAACAAGAAAAAGTCGCAGGGGGCCAGATCGGGTGAATGCAGGAGGTGCGGCAGCACTTCATAACGCAATTCATGTAGCTTGGCGGCGACAACTCCGGATGAATGTGCTGGTGTGTTATCGTGGTGAAACAGCACCCTCTTTTTCGTCAAATGTGGCCGTGTCTCATTCAATTTTTTGTCGAAGCGGTCCAATAACTCACACTAGTATTGTCCAGTGACCGTTCTTCCTTTTTCCAAAAAGTACATGTGGTTCACATCCCAAAAAATCGTCGCCATGACCTTTCCGGCCGATGGGGACCGTCTTCGCCTTCTTTGGAGCAGATTCACCTGAGGAAATCCATTGTTTTGATTGTTGCTTAGTTCCTGCTGTGTAATGTGTAATGATGAATCCAGGTTTCATCGACGGTCACAACTCGACGCGAAAGCTCCTTCGGATTTCGCTTAAATTGCTCTAAACATTCCTTCGAACAGCGTCATCGGCTTGTTGTTCACCGTGAGCAATTACGGTACTCAACGGGCCGACAATTTTTTCATAGCCAACTCATCATTTAATCATGTCGTGGACTTTTTGAATGATTTCCTCGGTAACCACGACTGCCGGGCGTGCTGGTCAATCCTCATCAAAAACAGAGGTTCGCCCACGTTTAAATTCGTTTTACCAATATCTATCTGTGGTTATAGATGGCGAAGTGTCCCCATAAACAGCATCCAACTTTGATTTTATCTCCTCGCATTTTTTCCCATCCGAAAACAAAAAGCAAATTACCGAACAATACTGCTCTTTTTCCATCTTAGCGAAAATCACGAAAAACGTCTTACCCGAATGGCTGCCAAATCCAAACTAGCCTATCAATCAGTCTCAAACTTGTTGTGCCGTCCTTTGATAGATGGCAGCACACGATGGTAACAAGGAACACCCTCTGTCGTCAAACACGGGTACTTATTGAACCGCCCTCGTAGATCTCAGTGGTTGAAGCTGTGCGTCTACTAACTGAGTCGTCGTGAGCTGTGAGTTTCAGATCCCGTTGCAAGCGAGTTTTTCCTTTGGCTGCGATTCTCCGTAGGTGGTAAACGGTCTCAAACCTTCGAGCGTGGAGGTACCTCCCGATGAATCTCCAAGTGGTGACTAGGATTTGTGCATATCACATGCACAGGTTTGATCCGCTAGAGTATGTGACAACTTTCCCCTTTCTCCTGTTTTCCCGTATAGTCCCACGATATTCACAATTACTTAGGCATTAGGTCTACAGAGTATTACCACGATTATAAGCTCTCTCAATAAGAGTACGTTCTTCATTTGAACCAAAATAGCAACATTTACCCTTCTAAAATGCACCAAGCCTCAGTTTTTTGCCCACAGCTCCACCGAAACTGGATCAATTTTGAAAAGCTACAAAGTTCTTTCGACTTTGTCATAGTCGTAACATTGAGTCAACATTTGGTCAAAATCCAAACGCTACTTTTAGCGGACAGACAGACAGACGCGATAAGCATGCCATGTTACAAAAACAATTTTTAGCGGGTGAAATTTTACATGACTATAACGTTCACCAATTCGCGTAAGAAATAAAAATTAAGGGATTTTCGACGTATTTCGCAGAAAGCCAGATATATCGATACCCTAAATTAGTGACTTTTCCGATCAACAGCTAGTAATAAACACAGTGATAAATCTTTACTTCCTGTCACATCATACCCTCTCCTCGTTCAAAACAAACATTCATTTTGATCATCTCGCTTCGAAATATCAAATATACCACTGATGCTAGCAACCAGCCTTTATATACAGCCCCACGGAGACATATTAAGTCTTCTGATTTTCCATTAGCACCTTCGTAGGCATGCTTAAAAGTTAGCCCCGAACATGTGTGTAAATAGTTTAAGTTCGGCAATATTTCAGACGCAGCTGTATTTGACAGTTGGAAAATCTAATACTACCACGGAATCGTGGCTTGCCTTAAGAAACTCCGGGATATGGAGGAATGGTTTATGTCGTTTGATTCGTATAGAGGTTTCTACCGATTGTAGATATGCAATATTGCGCCTCCTAGAAATTTCGTTAATCTAGTGATTAAGGATAGTTAAAAAATGATTTAAGGATACATTGTGATGTTATTTTACCAAAGATTAGAAGAGAGTAAAATAAAGTAGAAGACAGTATAAGAGAGTAGAAGACAGTATAAGAAAGTAGAAGAGAGTATAATTTATTTATTTATTTATATACAGTTTGGGGTGTTAACAGGTAAACCCAACACACACCCTCAGTGAACTAAAACTAAACTTACATAAAATATCGTATACATATACATATATTACATTATTGAATACTTCAAATTTGTTTATCTTCCGATATTGTTGTAACAACATAAACTGAGTGAGTAGTTCTAATTATAAGCAATAAACTATTAATTTAACTTTTTTGATAAAAGGAGTATACATAATTTAACATTTACTTACGTTTAATTAAAACTGAAATAAAAATTAAATTGAAATTATACCAGAAATGATATTGGAGGTGATAACTTGAGTTATGTGAAAAAAATAAAGCATTTCTATTTTAGTCTGTCATAGAGCTGTAATACTCATACTTTAAAGCCTTTTTCAGGAAGGTCAAGCTAATGTTAAATAAATCTATATTACAGAGATTATTATGATTTTTTTGAGCCCTGACCAAAGGGGAATTAAGACCAAGATTAGTTCTACGGAACGGTATTTGTGAGTTTAGGAATAAACTCGTATTTATGTTTGTATGTTTTTTGCCAACTAGTGGTTCGAAGTCGACTCGACTAGAAATAAACCAGTTATGAAGTAAATGGTGTTTGGTTCACACCCCCAGTTATTACACTGGCGACGAGGAAAAGTTAAATATTTTACGGACATAGTTGTGCGTGATTTTTTTTTTCGTTCGCAGTTGTACGCCAATTGAACAATAAAATGTCGATCGGACGGATGTCGGAGTTTAAGTTAAGTGGCTCGAACTGGAATACCTACATTTCCAGATTTGAGCAGTACTTCATTGCTAATAAAATCGAAGAAGAATTAAAAGTAAATACACTGTTGGCTGTCGTCGGGGAAGAATTGTTCGAGCTGATGATCGATTTGTGTAACCCGGACAAACCGGAGGAAATTACTTACGAGGCATTGGTCAGGTTAGTTAAAAATCATCACCATCCAGAGCCGTCCAAAAGAGCAGAAAGATTCAAATTAAGATTACGCAAGCAAGAGCCCGGCGAATCTTTAGCGCAATATTTAGCTGCACTTAAAAAACTAGCTAAAACATGCCAATTTGGAGACAGTTTGGAAGACCACTTAACAACTTAACAACTTTTCACCGAGAAAGATTTAAATTACATTAAAGCAGTAAGAATTGCCTTAAATATGGAGGCCGCAGAGAAAAATTCTCTCATGGTGGAGGAAGCAAAGTCTTCGTCGATGGCGATAGTAGCAGTTCACAAAGTTTCGGGCAGAGGGCAACGTAACCATGGGCCACGTTCCAGCTGTTGCTGCCATTGTGGGAAATCAAACCACGAAGATATCCGATGTTTCTTTCGGAAATCGAAATGTCACAGGTGCGGTATAGTGGGGCATTGACAGGGAAGCATGTGCAATAATTTTTGGGTTAAAAAAATTCAATCAGTATTTAGACGGCCGCCAGTTCACTTTAATCACGGATCATAAACCTCTGGTTGCAATTTTTGGTGCAAAAAAAGGAATTCCATTATATGCAGATAGTCGCTTACAGTGTTGGAGCATTATTTCAGCATCATATGACTACGATATTAGATATGTAAAAACAACAGAAAATGGAAATGCCGACGGCTTATCTCGCTTACCCGATGAAAACACAGCTAGTAAGATGGACTATGTAGATTTCAGTCATGTATTTTATATCGAAAATAATACTCCATTTAGTTTTAAGCAAGTAGCCATTGAAACAAAAAAAGACGTTACTCTTAATAAAGTTTATATGTATTGTCTAACAGGCTGGCCAGATAATGGGGTCCCAAGAAATTGACAGACTTTTATGTTAAAAGAGATGAGTTGCATTTAGAGAGGGGTTGTATCTTATGGGGCATACGAGTAGTGGTTCCGGGCAAGTTGCGACAATATGTCCTCGATGAACTACACAGCACACATCTGGGTATGAATAAATGCAAATCATTGGCTAGGTCATATGTGTGGTGGCCCAAAATAGATGAAGCTGTGGAGCTCATGTGTAGCTCGTGCTCAATATGCAATGCAGTGCGTACTAATCCTCCAAAAACTCCACTCACTCCGTGGCCCATAAGTCAGTATCCTTGGTCTAGAATCCACTTAGATTTTTTAGGTCCCATATTTGGAAACAAATACTTGATTGTTATTGACTCATTTACAAAGTGGTTAGAGGTATTTAAAATGCAAACTGTCAATTCTCGCAATGTTATTAAAGTATTAGCTACGTTATTTTCAAGAATGGGGCTACCCGACACAATTGTTTCTGATAATGAACCTCTACTTGTGTCGACAGAATTTTCAAACTATTTACAAAAAAACGGTATTCGAGCTATACAGTCCCCTCCATACCATCCTGCTAGCGATGGGCAGGCTGAAAATTCTGTCAAACTTATTAAATCTGTGTTAAAAAAAAGCAAATATGGAGAACAAAAATTTAGATAATGCTTTGCTAGACTTTTTGCTACAATATAGAAATGCAGAGCACGCCACTACTGGCTATAGTCCGGCACAACTGATGTTTGGCCGAAATTTGAAAACCCGTTTAGATTTACTAAGGCCCAATAACAGAATAGTGGTTGAACAAAAAACGGAAAAGCAAATTCAACACTCTGGAGGCCATTCAAAATTTCTTGGGGTGGGTGATAGTGTACATTATAGAGACTATTCTAAATCAAATGAAAATGTGTGGTTTCCGGGTACTGTAAAAAGCCAGTTAGGTTCTTCTGTGTTTGAGGTCGAAACTCCTAACAATACCATCGTAAAAAGACACAGCGATCAGATTCGTAAAAATAGACTGTGTGCGCCAGCCAACCTATCAGTTCCATCAGAAATAAACACAGAAGAATCTAGTTCCTTGGCAGCTGGTGAAAATGAAAACATTATACCGGAGCAAAAAAGTCAAGGTTGTCAGCCGGGTATAAGCAACCATGTGTCTCCTAGGTATAATTTACGGCCAAGAAAATTTACCTGTTATGTATTTCCTTCTAGTCGACTTTTAATAAGTTTAGAGATGTGATTTTGTTTTGAATATTTGTTGTTTATTTTTATACGAGAAATATGTATTTTTGGAATAAGGGTGAAGGTGTAGAGTTTAGGAATAAACTCGTATTTATGTTTGTATGTTTTTTGTCAACTATTGGGTCGAAGTCGACTCGACTAGAAATAAACCAGTTATGAAGTAAATGGTGTTTGGTTCGCACCCCCAGTTATTATTATTCTAAACAGATGATAGGTTCTAAACGTTCTATCAGGAGTGTTAAACTTCAAGTTTGCCAAAAGATCCGGACAGTCAGTGAGGTCATTCAACAATTTATGAACACAGCAAATGTCAGAAATCGTTCTTCTATCTTTTAAGGAAATCATATTGAACTGTTTCATAATTTGCGTATAATGATGACCTGTAACAGGTTGGTGAGTTTTATGTGCTAACATCTTCAAAATTTGTGTTGAATTCTTTCTATCCTGGCTATATGTACATTGTAAGACGGATTCCATATTACTGATGCAAACATCAATTTGTTGTGTATATAAGCGTAGTACAATGAAAGAAGCGTTTTTGGGTTCGTAAATTCTCTGCATGTCCTGTTTATGAACCCTGGTGTTCTATTAGCATCATTTACGATGTGCTCTACGTGAGTGATGAATGAGAGTTTCTCATCAATGTATACCCCTAGGTCTTTTACTACATGAAGCTTTTCCAGTTCTGCCGTCCCTATCTTATATCTGAAATCTATAGTGTTCGCTATGTTTCTAGTAAGCCTCATGTAATGACATTTTGTTCAATTCAGGAAGATACTGTTTTCAGTGCAATACTTTTGCAGTGATTCCAAATCGCTTTGAAGTTTTACACCGTCATTTACATTTCTAAGAATAGAGTAGAATAGAGATGAATAAAGTAGAAGGGAGTAGACTAGAGTAGAAGAGAATAGATGAGAGAAGAAAAGGGTGAAATAGAGTAGAAGAGAGTAGAAAAGACAACAAGCGAGTTTAAGAGTGTAGAGTACAAGTAAAAGAGGGTTAAAAGAGAGTATCTTCACTGATCGTTTGACCATGTGCGATTTCAAGCTGTGTCCTCAGTAGCTCTAAATCTTGGGCATTGTAGACTACTCGCTTTGCAAACATCCATGTTCGTTGGTGTGGTAGACGTAGAACGTATAAGGACATGAATTTTACAGGCAAATTATTTCGCGGTTTATCCTTCGCACACTTTGGTGATATTAAATTAAAATTAATTGGTAATAAGATTACGTCTAAGGGAACGGGAAATTTAATCAATTTGTATTAGCTCCTTATAGGCGAACTGAAATTTTCATTTAGACCCTCCTTGCCCTCACGCCATGTGGCGGCGTTTTCTTAGAAGTTCGGGGAACTCCTAATCGAGCTCTTTATGTAATTTTGTATGGTGGAGGAAAATAGCTTGGGTGTGACACGGTGACAAAGTGAAAAGGTTGCTTATAGAATTCTCTGTCAAGTAGAATGACTCGCTATTTCCAGGTTACCCACTCAATCGTATTAAGAATACATAGTTTCCTCAGAGCCCTCCTCACCGGGGTGCCATGGTGACGTCACCATCATAGCCAAACTAACCTATTGCTGCCATATATTTTAATAGTAAGATCTTATGATGATTCGTCGAGATCGTTTGCGAGAACAGTTTTTCCCTGACAACAACAGGAACTGTCGCTTTATGCTTCAGGATGAGTGGAAGTTGGTCCAGCTACTTTCCAGAGAGGAGTAGCAATGTCAAGCATTGGTTCTAGAAATGCGTTCAATTGCTCGTTTTGGCATTCATGAAGTACTTCCTCACTCCGTGAACAATATTCAAAGCTCTGCGAATTTTCTGCTGTCCACATTAGTGCTTATTGGATGGATCTTGTCCGTTCTGCTTGAAAGGTATCTACTTATATGTCATTCTCGGTATTAGTGAGCTCGGCCACGAGCGTTTAGTTCAGTTTCCAATCTACGCATTTCCTAGGACAGGCTTCCTTGCCCCATGCATCCTTCGTATCCTCCTCAAAAACAACGGGGACATAATCAGATGAGATGTCGTACATGATTCTAGAAGAAACGCGCAAACCGAAGTTCCTGGAGTCTATAACATCTGTTACATGCTGAAAGTTAAACGGGTGGTATGCCGGTTTCTCAGTGCTGCGAGTTGGGGACCCATATCGCATTTTGTTGTGCATGCAAACACGGCCAGCAGTTTTGAATCTTGTACCCTGCTACAATCAGAAGATCCGAGCTATCTAAGAGGATCTCGCCAGGTCCACCCCCTGAAGCTATAATTTCAACGTAAAATTTTACCTTAGCCTGCAGGTTTCTCTTAGGAGTGAACCTGCACGTTGAGCCGTTGGCAGGTATAGGGCATACATGTCAGGTGGTCCTGTACAATAGGACGGTGAGTGCCCATACCCTGGCAGCGGTGACACTGGCCAAAAAGTATATTATTATCGTGTACCTCAATATTGATCGATACAGCTCCTTTTCGTTGAATAGTTAAGCCAGCGGTATGGAGGCCCGTCCACTGCATTTTAATCTGGTCAGATGGAGTGGGGTTTTCTCTTTCAGCTCCTACTTAATCTTTTCTACTTGAAATGACCTTCTGACCGCGTGATGACAAACCGATATTGTTGCCAGAATGAGCGACCCAGAAAGCCTGATTTGAATGACAACTTGTTACCAAACTGTGGAAAGACGTCAAGATTATTTCTTCTAGCATACGATTCTATAGTATTTTAACAGTTTGACGAAACCATTTAGAGTATACGTTTCAAAACTAATTCAGCAGTTATACTAACTTTATTTTAATTCTACCTACTGTGACATAGGTTCATGTTTAATTCAGAAGGCGTTTAATATGAAAAATCTTGTCGCCAACTTTAGAATGGTCACGAACGCTGGCTCTGTTGGGATTTAAGAAACCACACGATGTAGGCAACAAGGAGGGCTTAGTCCGTTGGGCTTTGGATCGCCATTTTGTATTTCTCCGTCGATTCGGGTGCTGCCTAGGAGATGACGTGATTGGAATATAAAGGATGTATCTAACTTTAGAGTCTGGATGGACCCAAGATTCAGGAGGGGAATAAACGTAATTATTTGCCCTTTTTCCTGTAGTGCCGTATATTAGCTTCTAGGTGAGAATGTTGGCTTTAACGGCACATACCTATTGGTATTGGAAAAAAGAAGGGAACCATTAATTTCTAAACAATTGAGGGCAAGAACTATTGCAGAAGCCTCCCCCCATTTTTTTAAGACGTCATAGTATTTTCTTCAGCGAAACGATCGGTTTTACCTTTCACCTTTCAAGTAAAAGTATATGTATACGGGGATTGAATACAAACATCGAGTCTAGTAGATCTATTTAAAATTTTAAGCACAACTGAATCTTTACGGTGTCATTACTGATAAGTGAAATACGAGAAATGTCCGATTTAAAACCTTTTGAATTGTTTGTGAAAGTGACCGAAGGGTTGAAAAACGTCAACAAACGCAGTTTGTCATTTGAATCTTCTACAATCTTTTTACCACAAAAAATACTACCGGAAAATCGAAAGACGTCAAATAACTGCTGACACTAGACCGATTTGTCAAAGTTTATAAAGCGTCTCTCGTTGGTGAGGTAGTAACCCTTCAGAGATACAGAGGCACCAAGGATTACTGACTGCGAGACAATCCGAGGAAAATTAATGATATGATTTGAAAAAAAAATGGCGTCAAGTACGTTGATACGCACTGCACTATATGCTGTCATCAGTTCATAAAATATTATGTTACATAGAAGTTAACTACGTACATGTACAACAAAAGATTTCAGTGGATCAAGTCAAGCAAATAGGCTCATACAATTAGTCTCCAGCTCCAGGCCATATTCCCTGAGAATCTGCCTGCCTCTCAAACATGCATATTTGGCTTTGTATCATTTTGTACCATATTCAAGATTTGACTTCCTGCTCAAAACATTTTGATGCTGACACTGTCTAATCGCAACGACCACTTCCTACATCGCCCCACCCTTTAACTTTTCACCCATCAAACAATTTTCAAACATGACTAGGAGCCTGTGAAAATCAAGAAACGAAGTTTGAGAGATTTTTATTTCTTACATTTTCCGATTAGTACTCTCCAAGTTATAGACGGGTCGACAGTTACCGGACAGTTAGGTAAACAAGCCGACGGGGATAGGTGACATGACTTTTCGTCACGTAACGACCAAAGAACATAATATATCATTTTCGAAGTTTCTCAGGATTACAATACTTCCTCGTCAATGACATAGGAAATGAAAAATTACTATTCGTCATTTGTTTGTCTGGGCGGTCCGTAGGACCTTTGCCCATTATTCACTGTCTAATGTACGTTAGTCGAATCTGTCAGTACTGGTTGCCCAGAAACCAGACAATGTCAAGGAAAAAGAGAAAGGGAAAGAGAAGAAAAATGGAGAAGAGCAAAGAAAAACAGAAGTGTTTAGTTTAAGAGGAGACACCTAGGCTTTTTGACTTGGTACACGGATTAATTTTGAGGTGAACTAAACAAATTTTGATTCGGTTTTGTTAGAGTGTAATTTTAAGTTTACTAAAAGTTCGGGCTAATTTTTGATTACAGTGCAAGCCTGGCCTTGACTGTTTACGAACTTGCTCCACTGTGTAGTCCACTGAGTCGCGCAACAGAGGGTTGCTGTGCGATTCGGCTTGACTATAACGTCGCTACGCCTGAAGTTTGACATAATCCCTCAAGTAAGGAATGTCAAGGTCTCTGTGTCGTGTCTCGTTTGAGACATACCATGGAGCATTGCAAATTGTTCGCACAGTTCTACTTTGCAGTACTTGAAGACTTTGCATTATGTGTCTTGGCAAGAAAACACCAAGCCGCAGATGCATAAGTAATGGCTGGTCTAATAATCATTTTATATAGGCGAACTTTGTTTATCAAACTCAATTTGGAGGATCTACATAATAAGGGATATAGTTGCCGTTTGGAATTTTGTTTTTAAGGCTGTTGTATGTTTCTGCCAGGTCATGCCTTTATCAAGGGTGACACCGACGTACTTGGCAGAATTTGTCCATGGTACACGATTGCCGTCTACAGAGACCTCTGCTGGGGGGCCGCGACGTTTTATGGTAAGTACAATAAATAGCCTGCGTTTTCGAATGATTAATTTTAATCAGCCACCGTTCAGCCCACTCTAGTACTTCTTCCATCGCACTCTGCAACCTATCATGAACCAGATCACCAGTACATGACTAGGCGACAACTGCAGTGTCGACAGCATAGAGGTGGACTGCACTGTTGCTGGGGCCCATTCTGGCCGTGTTGTTGACAAAACATTGTTAATTTTGATCCGAAACTTCCTTCCTTCAAGAAAGGATTTCAGTAGTTTTAGAAGCCAAAAAGGAAAACCCTTTTGGATTAGTTTATAAGGGAGGCCCGCGTGCCACACCTCCTCAAAGGGTTTTGAGACATCCAAAAGCAAGATGCCACTACTCATGCTGAGGGTGAACCCTCTGGTTACATGTTCCTCCAGCCTGACTGCCTGTAGCTCGGTGCTATGCTCACGTTTCCGGCAAGCTTAGAAGGAGCTGGCAGCAGACTTATGGGACGGTAATCCTGAGGAAATATCGAACCCACCCTGTTTGGAATCATGATGACCTCATCAGTCTTCCACCCAGCAGCGAAGTACTGGATTATGAGCGTCGCATTGATTATTGTCACCAAATATGTGAGGGCTTTCGACGAGAGCAGCTTCAACGCCTTGTTGGTGATTTGATCCTCCCCAGGTGCTTTGCGCACCTTGAGGTCTTTAATATGACTTAGGAGCTCCGCTGGTGTGCAATGTGGAAACTCGGAGGGTTCCGCTAATGTACTATGTGGAGCCTCAGACGAATCTTTTGAAGAAGAGTCATCTGAAGAGGATTCAGTGCCTCCGCTAACGCCGTTGGATCTGAAATATCTCCTGACGGATCGTACGATGTGCTGTTCTTCGTTTTGGTCATTATCAAGATCATAGTTGGGAGAGAACTGCTTTTCCATGGCATCAGCGCAAACCTCGACCTTATCCTCCATTCTGAAGACTATGCCTTCAGGACCGTGAATGTGCGGGAAGGAAACAAAAAACTATCAGCGTCCAGATCTTTCGCGATTTCGATGAATAAAGATCAGCCGCAGTCTGCATGACAGCGCAGTCTGTCACTGAGGTATCCATCAGAAAATTAGCATTTTGTTCCAGTAGTGCAGATTAAATTATTCCAACTTCATAGCTTATACAATTCCAACAGTGCTTCAGTATATGTGGAAACCCTGTAATCCCTAGAACCACACAAATTGACTACCAAAACTGCCAAAACTTTTGGCATATTTTCAATGTGTTCCCCTTATTATAACACTAAAGCAGGTTATCTAACAGTAGAGAGAAACAAACTTTAGCAGAATAAACATTAATTTCCTTACCAAATTACCAGACTTATTTGCAGACAGCTACATTTTCGCTGGATACATAAAATTACTATGTATTTTGCTTAAAGTTCTGTTTGGATAATAACGCGAAGTATATACATTTTCAGGCGAATTTTCCTCCATCTACTTCTTCAAGTTACTGTTTGTCTCTTTCTAGCGCGCTCTTCGTCACAAAGGGCGCACCAGCCAGCGTTTGTAGGGTGAGATGCTTTAAGCATAAGCACTTAGTGCATCCCCCACTACAATAAGCATAAGAAGCTTTTTAGGCAAATTTATCCATCGGTAGAAAAACATCAAAATGTTCAAAAAACTGGTAATATCGTCCTACCACAGACGGCCACCCACGGACAGTTGATTCGTGCTATTTGGCGACTCTTCAGCATGATCTAGGCTTGGGCTTAAGTAAGGCAAAGACCGACATCTGCGCAACTGTGTTCTATCCAAAGTATAAGGTCTGAATTACAAGCCATATACATGCTAACAGTAATTACACACAACGCGGGCGCGGTGATGTCCCGTAATTCTCCTCAGTTTTTCGTAATTTATAAGTTTGAACATAACCTCTCTTCAGAAAGCACAACATATAAATAACCCGTCATATTCGGCATATTCAGTAATGATTTTCTCACACAGCAAATATCACTGATTTTAGACACATGCAGACCATTACACATAATCATCCAGATGGGATCTTGCTATTCAACCAACTTTTTTCTCAGAGATAAAAACTACAGACACGGATCACTCAAACTCACAAAACAATGCAACCATTAATGCGTAGTTTAGTTGAGTGATTCCTCCATAGATGGACGTTCACAACGATTCTAGTGAGCAAAGGTGGAATGGCTCGATGGGAATGACTGATTGCGCCCTAAAAACTACCTAGTCTGTAAGTTGACATCTTATAGGTTTTTTTTTACGTTTTGTAGATTTTTCACATGATACCTG